AAAAATTTTGAAAAAAAGAATTGTCTGGGCCTATTAAATTAACAAAAGGATTTGTAGTAAAACTAACAAGTAGACCCAGCAAAACTTTACTTTCCGTGAAAAACAAAAAAAAAAGAAAAAAAAATTCTGTCAAAATAAAAACTATTTAATGCAAAACAACTTGGCGCGGCTGCACCTCAAATATAATGAACTGAAATTCTTATATGCACGGCAGTCTGATACTTACATGTGCACATGTAAAATATGTCTGTCTGTAGAGAAATTAAGTAAAACAGTGTTATTTAGTCACATGTAACTGCATAAAACTTTGAAATAATTTTAAAGTTATTACTAATTTTTGTTCTTATTTCGGTTATTTTATATTGTTGTTGTTGTTGTTGTTGTTGTTGTGTGTGTAAAAGCCACTATAAATATTTAATAAATACATTATATTTTACCTTTATTCAAATCTGGTTACTTTTTCTTTAAATAATCGTTTGCCACTAATAAATATATATTTTTTTATATGATTCCTGTCTTTGTAAATACAAATATTTGTTTTGTAACTTTTAATTTGTTGGTATAAAAAATAAAAATTTAATTCATTTAAAAGTTGGTGCAGTATAGAAATGTGTGAAGTTGGCGCGTCCGTATTACAAATGGCGGCGTATCCTAACTCGGCTTCACTTTTTGCCTACCCCATATATGTAATACTCCTATATTGCTAGTACGGTGCCGACCTGAAGCTCACCGTTACGGTGCAGACAATATAGTAGCCTCTCTCTCCAGCTGCTTTGTGCGCATGCGGTGAACATAATGACGCTCGACCATCTATGCCCATATTTGGACTTTGTGCGTCTCCCTTTCTCGGGCCTCGTGCCTCTCATTGCGAAGATACGCGACTAGCAATATAGGAGTATTACATATATGCAGTCGACACAAGGCGACACAAGAATGCGTGCCCGAATCATAGACGTATAAGAAATAGACTGCGCGTGTGAGAGGGGAAGTGAGTCAAACTTCGGAGTGAGACAGATGCTTTCACCCGAGTCTCTGTCTCTGTCTTTCAGCACCTGGAGTGGGGACTCCCCACTCGGAAGACAACTCCATAGAAAGTCTATGATGTCAATCGCCTACTGTCGCCCCTTCATCGCTCGATGCTCCTCTATTGCCCCACTACGGGGCAATATGTCTATGGCCCGAATGCGTGCCCGAATGTGTGCCGCATCTCTTCGTGCTTCTAAGAGATGGCGGTATGAGCGCGAACAAAAGAAAAGGACGAGAATTGTAATCACAGATTTCTATACTACACTAGAGTCCCTGGAAATAAGAGTCTGGCCAATGTTTAATCTGAAACAAAATGGCGTCGATAGTTACTATGGGTGCATTCCGATATTCACTGCCAGTACTGACAATGTGACGTCATAAAACAGTGCTGTTTCTATGTTCCGCAATTACTTGTACTGTTTCTTCCATCGTATAACGGAACGATTTTATAGTATCTTTTGAAG